GCCGCCGCAAAAAAGAAGAATATGCAAATGCTAGGATTATCCAGAAAACTTTAATGGGTTTATAATTGTTATAAAGTTGAACTGGTGAAACTTGTTCACTGAAACATTTTGACTTGCATTCATATTTTACATCCCTGCATTTGTATTAAAAATTCACACACATAGCCTGTTGTGGTGGCGCATACCTGTAATCCCAGCACTTGGGAGGCTGAGGCAGGAGGATTGCTGAGAGTTCAAGGCCATCCTGGGCTACCTAGTGAGTTCAGAACCAGCCTGGTCTTGACATGGTGAGACTCTGTCTCAAAAAACAACAACAAAAAAATTCACATACATGAAAATGGAAAAACTAGGACCAGGGATTTAGCTCAGTGGCACCACACCTGCCTCACAAGTGCAAGGTCCTGAGTTCGATCCCTGGTACCAAAAAAGTAAGAAAGAGGGGAATGGGGAAAAAGTAAGAACCAAGATAGATTATGATGTAAAGGTACAAATTTCCAATGATGGGTCTTAACTCAGTCGTGCCGCGCCTGGCTTGCAAGCGCAAGGTCCTGAGTTTGATCCCTGGTACTGGTACCGCACACAAAACAAAAAACAAAAATTTTGAATGATGAATGTCATTATAGTGTGTATCTAAAATGTACCAATAAAATTAATTTAAAAGAAAACAGAAAAACTACCAATATCTAATTTCTATCATTATCCACTCCCAACCATATACTTAGGTACTTTGTGTGTGTGTGTGGTACTAGGGATCGAACTCAGGATCTTGCCCTTGCAAGGCAGGTGCGACACCACTGAGCTAAATCCCTGGCCCTCTTAGGTACATTTTGACACCATAGGGGGGAAAATCTAGTATTTAGAACTATCAGTGACAGGAAGAACAGGGGAAAAAAGTTTTTTTTTCTTACACTGAAATGCTTCCCATCAAAGTGGATTTTTTTTTCTTGTTTTGGTGGTACTGGTGACTGAATATAATGGATTCATAAGTACATTTACCATATATGTAGTATGCTAGTAGGATGGCTTTTGGCATAATTGTTACACATTTGGCTTGGATAGCGCACAGATTAGTGCCTGCAAAAAAAAAAAGGCCAACCAAGCTAAGGACAGTGGTGCATGCCTGTAATCCCAGCACTCATGAAGATGAGGCAGAAGAATTAGGAGTTCAAAGCCACCCCTGTCAATTTAGCGAAACCCTGTCCAAAAAATGCCAGCTTCATTTGTCTCCTGCCAAACACCAGTAGCTGCACTTGGGAAGCACAGATCTGCTTCAAAGTCCTGAGCAATTTCTCACACCAGCTGTGGAAGGGGAGCATACAAATCAGCTCAGTGGACTTCTAGTGGTGTCAGATTTCACGGAGTGTCACAGTACCAGGGGCCTGTGCCTAAAGTTTCTTCACCCCTCCATTAGGGGGCGCATCCTTTCCAGTTGCTTGCCCGGTGCTTTATCACTGATGGATTTGCCAGCAGTATCCACACAAGATACAGTGTACAGACTTCTTACCCTGCTCCAGCAGACGATCAAATTGGGGTGGCACTCATATTAGAGAGCAACAGCTTAGGCCTGGAAGCAGCTCCAAAAACCCAAATTAATTTTTCTGCAGTCCTCCCAACACCATTTGTTAAAAAGTCCAAGACATGATATATCTTGGTTCTTATTTTTTGCGCATTCCCTTGTCCCCCCTTCAAACCTTTCACCCCTCCCTATTTACAGAGACTTTGTTTCCATTTTTTCCTTTTCTCATAATTTTTCCTTTCCCTTCTTTCCTTTCCCCTACCTCTCCCACTTCCCCAACTCCTTTAGACCTTTTCTTCCTATTTCACATTATCAATTATATCATTTGAACCTTATTTATACTTTTAGTATTTCATGCCAGAGAAACTATTCACATGTGTGTCCTGTTTATTTCACTTAAGAGTATGGCCTCAATGTGCATCCATTTATAAATGTCTCTAGTTTCTCATTCTTTATGGTAAAGATCTAAATATTAAAACAGAAACACTAAACTTACTGGAAGGTAAATTAGGTAGAACTCTCGAGGACATTGGCATAGGAAAAGATTTTATGAACAAATCCTCAATAGCACGGGAACTTGCACAAAGAATCAACAACTGGGATCTCATTAAAAAGCTTCTGCACTGCAAGAGAAACCACCAACAGAGCTAAGAGACAACCTACAATGTGGGAAAAGATGTTTATCAGCTGTTCCTCAGACAAAGGACTACTATCTAATATATATAAATAACTTTAAAAAGTCAGACCCCTCAAATTTAAAGACCCAATTCAAAAATGAGCATCTGAAATGATATTTTTCAGACAAAGAAGTAAAAGCAAATAAACACATAAAAAAATGTTCAACATCACTGGTCATTCAAGAGATGCAGATGAAAACAACACAGATTCCACGTCACTCGAGAAAGAATGGCCACTATCAAGAAATCAACCAATAACAAATGTTGGCGGGGTTGTGGGGAGAAAGGAACCCTTCTTCATTGTTGATGGGAGCACAGACTGGTGCAACCACTGTGGAAATAAGTATGGAGATGCCTCAAAAAACTAGGATTAGAAGTCCCATTTGACCCAGTATCCCTCTGCTGGGTATCTTTCCAAAAGAAAAGAATCATACCACAGTGATATATGCACACACATGTTTCGAGTGGCACAGTTTGTAATAGCTAAAGCTTGGAAACAGCCCAAATGCCCATTAACTGGAGACTGGATAAAGAAGATGTGGTTTTTCTATAAAATCAAGGCCAGTCTTAACTACAAAGTGAGACCGTGTCTCAATCAGTCAAACCTTTGACCATGTATTTGAAGGCCTACTTTAACTTTTGAATTATGGAATAAAATTAGAAAATCTTTAACATCTAGTCCAGTTCTGTGTCAGCTTTGATTGCTTATTTTCCTCATTATGAACTGTTTGCCTGCCACTTTTTAGGCTTGATCATCTTTGGATGCCAGACATTGTGAATTTTATCTTGTTAGGTGTTGCAAATTTTACCTTGTTAAGTGTATAGGTGTATTTATAATCCAGTAAATCCTTTTAAGGTTTGTTCTGGAACAGTTAAATTACTTGGAAATATCTTAATCCTATCACGTCTTACGCACAAGGGCCCCCTCCCCCAAATCCTCATCAGTGCTATTCAGTGGTATGGCAAGACCTTCCTGGCCTTTCTCCCCACTACCCTGTGATACCCTGCCCAGTGCCATGGCTGGTGGGAACAGACCCACCTGGGTGAGCAGCAGGCACTGTCTCCTCTCTTCCTCATGGTTCTTTATCCCTTCAGGTAGTTTCTGCAAACTTGGGCACTGATGAATATTCTGCTGCATACTGGGGGATCCTCTGCACTCTCCAGGGGCTTCTCTCAGTGTAGTGCTCTCCTTTCTGGGACTTGGGCCTATGAACTTGGTTTTGGTCTCCTAGACTCTTATCTGTCCGGTTAGCTCATGGTGTTCACTAGCTCTATACAGTTCTCCCTGCTTATGTTGCAGCCTGAAAACCCTCAAGGAAGTGAGCTGAGGCAGTCACAGGGCTCATCTCCATCTGTCCATAATCTCTGTCCTGTGCTGCTCAATGTCCTGAGCCTTGAAAACCCCGGCTTCATATGTTTGGTTTTTCTTTTTTGGTGATCTCAGATGGGCAGGTTTACCTGGTCCCTGTTCTCCATATCAGCTAGAAAGAGAACTCTCTACCACTGCCTTTTTACCTGAGGCCACAACGTTTCTGCGAAAGACTATGAGTGAAGTGAGAGTCCCTCACACAGTAGGTGCTCAGTCAGTTATTCTCTCCTCACCCACCAAAGGGCTTGCCTCCTAGGAATCTTAAGTCTGGTGGGTGACTCAGCTTAACTTGAGGCAATTTTTAGGTCCAGACACCTTGTAATCGAACCTGTGCTGGTCAGTACCCTGTTTTCCTGAGGGCCATCACAGGGTAAAAGTGCCATCTGGAGGGTCCCATAGAAGGGCTGCATTATGACTAGGAATTCCTAGAGACAATCCTAGCTGTTCCTTTGACATTAGGAGCAAACATCCACTTTCCCCACCTCAACCTTGGTTTAAACATGTTATAGTATCTTGTTTCCTTTTGCCAATAATTGATTCAAGAGTAGGCACGTGAGCAATTTCTAGCCAGTGTATTACAGGACCAGGAAATGGAGTGACTTCTGAGAAAGGTCTCTTTCTTTTTAAGGGGAGTCACAATAATTGCCGTATCTTGGTGTGAGTCTTGGAGCTGCTGCCTCCATCTTGGCACCAAGCTGAGGATGAAACCAATATGAAGGTTGACAGATCAGAGAAGAAAGTCCAAGTCCTTGAAGATACCATTGAGCTGATGAACCAAACCGCCCCTAAGCCCATCTCACCTCTGGATATTTATG